GGCCAAAAAGAAGGCTACAGTACATTTGTCCCCCCGCATAAAGAGGGGGCCTTTTAAATTTTTAAAAACACCCCCCTTCAGCCCGTGTTTTAATAAACGTAATGGGCCCCAAATTAAAAATTTGGCCTTTTGGGGGGGATGCAGCCCCCTGAATTTAAAACCTCAGAAAACTGTTTTGTTTCTCACTCCCCTAAATTTTTTTATTCTCATCTGACAAGTAAGCATTTCGCATCCTTAGGGATAAAGCAGACGGGGGCCTCCTCAAAAAATTACAGAAAAAACCCATTCAAACCCATGCATTTGGTAAATGGGAAAAGGGCAATTATAACTTGCACAATGGCCCCCCCCCAAACCCGGGACTTTTACACTGTGGGGTTTTTTTTTTAATCGTTGCTTGCACCCTACTCTCACACTGAAAGACGAAACCGCAGGGGTTTTGTCATACAGTGGGGATTCAAAACTCAAAATTTTTTGTTTTCACCTACACTCTGATGTAAAAATCTACCCTGCTCCCCACTGTACACTAAAAAGGATGCGGACCCCAACAATGAGAGGGAAAGGCTGCTCTGACTCGCCCCCCCTACCCGGGAAGCCTAAGAAAAAAAAAAGGGGAAATTTATTAAGCTTGAAATTTAAAATGCAATTTTTTACCAAAAGCCCTAAAAAAAAAAGGGCCCCAAGGGAAAATTTTTTGGAAAAGCCCAGGGTGGTCAAACGTAGGGGATTTCAAAATTTAACCCCCTTTCACTCTTTTGCACCTTGCCTTTGCTTCTTGTTTCCCTCTGAGGGGAAAGAAGAAAAAGATGAATCCTTGTTTGGGCAGGGCCCCCTGAGCGAATTGCCCACGAAAGATCCTTACGATTCCTGATCGGGAGGTTTGGCCCGTGAGAGGCTGATCGCCCTCGTAACCCCCTTTTAAAAAAAACTCGACTCATGGGCCCCGATCAGGGTTTAAAGGCAGGCCAATGGAAAGGTTCTCGCACGACTGGAAAATATTTTTTAATGGAATCAGAAGGTGTTGGGCAGCAGCGGGACAGGGTCTGGATATAAAGGGGAAAAATTTAATTTTTAAGTAATGGGTCCTGGAATTTTGGAATATAAACCAAAAATAAAAGTAATAGTAGTCAACAAAAATTATGGCTACCTGACAAAAATCTCCCCCCTTCCCCTTTCTCAGGGAGTTTGCACCTTTCCTAAACTCTCCCCACCCGCAGTGTTTTATTTTTCAGGGGGGGATTTCACTTACCCTTTCCCTTAATTTTTTTAAACCTAAACCCCGGACACCACATGTAAACTAACCTTTTCGGGTACATGGGGATGAAACCCAACCCCAAAATCAAATTCCCCACCTTGGCTCTAAATTTTAAACCTACGCCAGCGTGCTGGATCGAAAGGGGATAAACTTTCGTTTCAACAATGTTTGTGATGTTGGGAAAATTTTTTTATGCAAATCTCAGACACGGCTTTCCCCCAATGGTTTTTTTCTTTTTCAAGGTAAATTCCTTATGACTTCCACTGTTTTGAGGGTGTGTCAAAATTTATGTTGGTTTCTATTTTTTTTCCCACACTGTGAAGGGAAAATATTGAAATTCCCTTTGGCGATGACAGCGCCTAAAAAAATATAGGGTGATACAAAAATTTCCAAAAATGCTACTTTACTAAAGCCTTTTTCTTGAAAAAAATCCCCCTTTTTGAAAAAAATAAATTGAAAAACTTCTTTACAAGCTACTTTGTATTACCATAGTAAAATTGTAAAAAGAAGTAACAATTTTAAACATAGTTATTCCCCTAACATTCTACTCCATTTTCAAAAGCTTTTTTAAAGGGTTTTGGTACCTTAGTTTTGGGTTTGCCATTAAACACAGGGATTTTTTTTTTTTTTGGAAGAGCAGACAGGGTTGCTTTTTTAAGTTTCATTCCCGCTTTTTCATTAAAGGGAAATTTGGGGGAAAGGTTTTTTTTTCCTTTTGGTTATTAAAAAAAGTGGTCCTTTTTAATTGTCAATCATTTTTTTTTGAATGGGTTTCGTAAAGGGCCCTCCTCTTTCTTGTTTTCCCCTTTTTCCAAATTAACCCTTGGTGAATCTGACAAAAAATTTTTAAAAACTTCCCTTTTGGGAAAATAAACTTTTATGAGCATTTCAAAAAGCAAAATTGTAAACAGCACGTGGAAAGGGGGAAAAAAATGGGCTTGTTTCACTCGCTCACGTTTAATAGGCGTTTTTTCCTTTTCGTGAGCAGGTAAAAGTGTTGTGGGAAGTGCATTTTTTTTTTTTAAAAAAAGGAAGGGTGGGTCTTTTAAAAATTCATAAAAATTTCCCCCATTTTTTTTTTTTTTTTTTTTTTTTTTTAAACCTTTTAAAAAAAAAAAATCCTTTTATTTGTTTTAAAAAACACTTTCACAGAAAGTGTTGCCATACTCGTTGGTGGGGTTTTTTTACTTTTTGGACAGGACCCCTTAAAAATTTTGACAGGGCTCACAATTTGGGAAAAAATTCTGACACATTTGGGGACAAAGGGATTTAAAGGTTTTATGATAAAAGGTAAATTTCTACCATGTGCATCTTCCCGTCTTTTAAATTTGGGAAATGGAAAAAAAATGGGAAAAAATGACGCAATTTTCATTAATTGGGGGTGTGTTTTTGTGGAAATTCAAAAAAAATGTTGTTCTTCCCTTTTAATTTCATGCCTTTCCCAAAAATATTTATGTTTTCTTCAAAAGCTGTCCCGGTTTAGCTTCACTTCCGTATGCAGAGGGCCCCCTAAAAAAAAACTGGTGTTAGTACAGGGGGATTTGGAGCATATACCCTTTTTTCCAGCAGCATTGGTATACTCCCCTTTTTTAAAACCCCCTAAGGATTCATGCCTTTCCAAACAGTTTTCTACGAGCCAAAAGGGAAAAAGGGTCGGGGGCATGCTATTTAATATTGTAACCTATAAATTGACATTTACAAAACTACCTTTAAAAGATTTTTCCCTTCACGACTTGGGGATGAACTGGTAAAATTAAAACGAGTTATTCAAAAAACTTTTTATTCCAAATGTCCTCACAAATCAAACCCTAGGCCCGCGCTCAGGTAGTGTTTTGCATTTTCACCAGTGGGAGTTAAGACTGTTTTACACCTTCACATCCCCCCTCATCAGGTTAATTTTTAATTATAGTGTGAATTTTTAATTTTCTTTTTAAAGTAAAGGGTTAGTAAACCTTCAAACCAAAACTGTACGTACAACTATATTACAACACAAACCCCCTCAGTGAGGCCAACGTAGAGCCAAACCAAAATTTAAAAAACACTGCCCAAAAACCCGTTTCCTTTTTCCTTTAGACCAACCCCCCCTTTTTAAGAATTTAAAAACATAGCAGGTACCAGGGAAAATTTCAACAAACAAAGAACCCAAACGACTGGCCCCCCCCTAACGATTGGGCTCGGTTCTCTGGTTCAAAATTTTTGTTTTCTAAGCCAAAAAAAAGGCTTTGTTTTTGTGAGGGAAAAACAGTGTTTTAAGAATGTTTAAGAATTTTTTGGATAAAAAGGAAACCCTTTTTTTGTGTTTCAACCCGTTCTGCAAAAAAGAGGTTTTTTTTTTCTAAAAACAAAAACTTTTTTAAAACTTTCATCCTTGAGTAGAATTATCCCGATGTATGTCCCTCACTTAACCCAAGGGAAAAAAATGAATCTGCCGTAGAAGGGAAAAACCCCGGGAATGCACCCTATGAGGTTTAAAATTGTTGAAACTAAAAAATAATTTTTTAAAAGGTTTAAAACAAAAAGGGAAAAAAGGTTTATGCAAAAGGGTGTAATTTTCCCTTGGGTCCCCTTTAAGGGGAAAAAACTTTCTGTTCAAAAACAGACGCAGGCATTTTAGTTGTTTTGATAGTTTTATTTTAAAGGGCCTTACAAGTAGATGAAAAAAGGAAATGATTGAGACATTTTCTTTCGATATTTTAAGTCCAAAATGGTCAAAAAATTTTTGATATTAAAGATTTGGATATAGAGCAAAAAAAAATAAGTTTGCTCAGAAAATTTTAACAAAAAAAATACATTTCCCCCGATATAAAAATCTATAATGTAAGTTATTATTTTTTTGCAAATTTGTCAAAATTTATCCCAAGTTTTGCACAAAAAAATAAAAAAGCAATGTCAAAACCTTTCAGGGCCCCACAGAAAAATAAATCAAAATTTATAATGATGTTTAAAAGTATTGCCTCATTTAAACCCCTTTATTTAAAATTTGATTTAAATTAAACTCATATTCCCCCCCTCTTTTTTTGCTTTCCCCCCCCCCTCCCCCCTCCCCCCCCCCTCCCCCCCCCCCCCCCCCCCCCCCCCCCCCCCCCAAAATAAAAAAAAAAAATTAATTAAAAAATTAAAAAAATTTAAAAAAATAAAAAAAATTTAAAAAAAAAAAAAAATAAAATTAAATAAAAAAATAATAAAAAATTAAATAAAATATAAATATACATATTTAGGAATTTTTAAAAAATCTCATTAACAAAAAAGGATTTAAAACATCAACCCTTGGGTATACATTATTTTGGATTAGTTCATCATTTCCCCAGGTATCTTAGGGTTTTTCTTAGCATGTGGGGTTTCCCACCCGGGGGAAGGGGATAGTAAGGGGCTATTTAAGTAATAACAGTCAAAAAAAAAGAAAAAAGGGGTTTTGGGTCTTTGGGCCTGTTAAAGGGAAAGTCCTAAAAATGAGTTAAAACAAAAACCTTTCACTCCCGTTTTTGTTTTCCCTTAAAAGGGAAGCATTCTGTTTAAAGGGTTGTAACGGGTTTGGGGAAATTTGGGGTCATTGAAGGAAAACTTCTCCCCTTTTCCCTAATCTACCCAAAAAACACCAATTTTTTAAAGTTCTCTTTAAACAAAAACCCCCAAAAAATAAAACAGGCCCATCCTCAGGGTTGGGGCCCCCGAAAAAAATTTTTCCCGTTTTAAAAGATTCTTTAAAATACTCCCAAACCAAGTTTGACTGCGGTTTACCCACCAAAATTTATAGTAAACCCCCCTGAATTAAAAACCTTTCCCTTTGGGCCCAAAACAGCCCCAAAACTTTCAAATTTTCCATGGGAAAAACAAAGGGAAACCACTGCTGACTCTGTCTAAAGCTCAGTGTCTTCCCATCTGCAGATACAGTAAGCAAGGGGTGTGCGCTATAGGAGTTCAAAGTCACATTAACTGCATTGCATTGCTGAATCATCATGAGCCTGTCCTTCGGTGGACGCCACACGTCTTGGACAGAATTTCCCATCCTTATGTTTTCATCTTCATCTGACTGTTCAGGTAGGTCACTGAAATCAGATGACCTTACCTTATTAATCAGCATATCTACCTCCTTAATGACTCTCTCTTTAATCTGAGCCACTGACTGTTTCACTATCTTTACATCGGTGGGCTGTTCAGTAAGTTGATCAAACTGATAAGTGTTCTCGGGTATTTGTTTGAACTGACAGCTCTGCAGCAGGTAGAGGTAGTCTTCTGACTGTATACACTTCTCAATGTCTGATCTCCTTCTTTTCAAATCAGAAAGTTTTTGCTCCAGCAAAGTTATCTGATCGTCAGCTTGTTTCTCTGATTCTTTCTGTTTCTCTTCAATTTCCTTAACTAAATCTCCCTGTTTTCTTTGAAGAAAAGCCACTAGAGCTCTCCAAACTTGTACAAGTTGTTCAATGTCATTTACTGACATGTCCCTGCTTCTCTGAACTGAATCTTTGATTTTTCTAACACTCCCTGACATAACGTTCTCCATCTCTTTCAACTCTGAGGTCAAGTTGTCGAAAATGGCTTTTCTGTCTTTAAAGGCGCGCTCCAGTGGAACAACCTTATGTGATGTGTGGTTGTCATTTAAACAAATCAGACAAACACACTCTTTGTCGGTGCAGCAGTAGAGCTCTAGCATCTTGTCATGCTTTTTGCACACCTTGTCCTCCAGATTGGACACAGGATCAATCAGTTTGTGCTTGTTGAGGTTCTGGTGTGACTCCAAGTGTATCTCACAATACGAGGCCAAGCACACCAGGCACGTCTTGCTGGCTTTAAGCTTTGGTTTGGTGCAGATGTCACAGGTAACCTCTCCTGGTTTGGCGATGATCTTAGGCAAGTCCTTGACTCTCATGTGGTTGAAATGCTCCACCATATCTCTAAACTCTGTGTTGACCTGGAGCCTTGGTTTGTTGCCCAACTTTTTCTTACAGAGAGGACACTGTGCAGGTCCACTAACCAGACTGTTCCAGTATTGCATGATGCAACCCTTGCAGAAGTTGTGTCCACATGGAGTGGAGACAGGCTCATTAAACTCACCAAGACAGATTGAACACAGGAGCAGTTCTTCATAAAGGATGCTGCAATTTGAGGCCATATCTGGAGAGAAAAATCAAAGTAGTCATTTTAATACCAAGAAGAAGATATAGAATAGATTGGTGTTTCAGAATACAGTATATATCTATAGCTGCTTTCTTCTAGCAGTCCAGAAGAGGGCGGGCAAGAAGCCAAAAAGTCCAGAACAAAATCAAAGTTCAAAATAAAAGAACGAGACAAGAGTGCAATGTCTTGCTCATCAGTTGGAGACCCTAAAATTCCTGGCTAACTGACTATGGCAACTCTACCAGAGATCTATCCAGAGTATTCATGGCAAGACAAACCTTTTGGATTGATACCACATACGATTTTTCCTTCTATGCAGAAACTTTCAAACTTCCTAGTCATGGATTTCAATTGAAATGCCCCCAAAGGTTAAGAGTTACAAGTTTGAAAGTCAGTGTAACAGGAACCATACAGCTTCTGCATTAAAAATTTATCATTTTTACATCAAAAGTAGTTACTTTCGATTTCAAAAGACTATTCGGCGGAGGAACACCATGGAGTGAAGACGTGCTTCTCGAGGCTCCGCAAAAGCAGGGACAAAACATTTATTTTAAAGTACACCCCTATTTATAAATCAGCCTCGCATATGTATATAATGGTGCGCTTCTAATCCCTGGTTCATTTGACACCTTTTTTGGTCGCTAAGTCGTTTGCTTCAATAACTTTTCGTAGCAGGCCGCGGTCGCCGCCTCGGACCTAGCCAGCGGGCACTAGCTTCATAGCGCTCGACCCGGGCCCTAAACAGACTGGTCTGTCACTTTCGGGTTGATCCCTTGTCCCCTGCACGGTGGCACTAGGACTGATATTACTGCAGGCACGGGTGAGCATAAAAGAGTGGTTTCCATCCTTGGACGGTCCATTGTGCTAAAGCTAATTACTGGTTGCGCTCGCCCGTGTCGCTGGACTGTGACGTCATCGTCTCCGCCAACTTTCTTCGGTACTGTTTGGGACCATTTTCTGTTTAAAAGTACTGCGACTCTTGTAAAATGGACAAGAGGGAGACTACGGGACCTCTTTAGAGACGTACTGCCGCTGAGACGAGCTCCGGATCGGGCGCGCTCCGGATGGATGAGACGCCGCTGGGGAGCGACAAGCGTGGATCAGATACACCGCTCAGTGAGGCAACATTCACCAAAGCACTGCAGGGTCTGAAGCAAGACATTTGTGATACTTTCGACTCGAGGATCGACTCTCTTACTCTCACATTAAGGTCAGAAATTAATTCCGTAAAAGGCTGAGCTTAATGCTAATATAAACTCCATCCAGTCTCTTGTTGAAACTCAAGGAGCCACAATCAAATAGCTCGAGGTCTCTGCTACCACTTGCAGTGATGATTTGTCCTCCCTGCAGTCCTCCATATCTGTTTTAACGGAGGAAGTTAAACATCTAAAGGCTAAATGTGAGGATCTGGAGGGAAGATCAAGGCGTAATAATATTCGTCTCATCGGGCTGGCTGAAGGACTGGAACTGCCCAGCCCTAGAGAATTCATCTCACAGCTTCTGCGTGACCTTTTGGGATTGGAGGATGTGCCGCTTCTGGACCGGGCTCACAGGTCTAGCAGGGAAAAACCTAAAGAAGGAGCTCCACCTCGACCAATTATCATCAGAGTGCATTATTTTCATGTGAAGGAACTGATTCTGCGCCGGGCAGGAGCTGCTGCACCTCTTCTCTATCAGGGCAGGAAAATTTTTATCTTTCCAGACTTTACGTCATCAGTGGCCAAAAAACGCTCACAGTTTGGGAATGCCAAACGTCTCCTACACTCGTGCCCTGGTGTTAAGTTTGGCCTGTTCTATCCTGCTGAGTTAAGAATCACACTGCCAAATGGAGCTGTGCGCAAGTTTTCCGACCCCGAAGCTGCCACAGACTTTATTAAGAAACTGGGAGGGGGTGCTCCTTCTGACTAATAACTCTGATTTGGTTTGAGGCTGATGTTCGTTATTTCTGATTTATATCCGTGATATGGTAACTTAACTGCAAGGGTTTTTTCTTTTTTTTTCTCTCCCTTTTTTTATTTATTTATTTTTTTATTATTATTATTATTATTATTATTATTTATTTTTATTTTTTACATATTTATTTTTTTACATATTACGATCTTTTATTTATTTTTGTTTAATTCTATTTTTATACTATTATACTACTTATATTTTATTAAAATCTCCCCCCTTTTTTTTTTTTTTCTTTTTTTTTTTCTCTATCCTTATTACTGATTTATTTCCTATATATAATTTATTTGTTTATTTATATTTCTGTGTATGTATGGGTGTGTAGATGCATATATATTTATACACTTAATTAGATAATATAATTTGACCCATTTATTTTTGTTCCTGCTTTGCACTGGTGGGAGCTTGAGTTCTACTGGGTCCGTGGATGCTTGGGAAGAGGTATCTAGTAGTTAGCAAAAGGGGGTATGCGCGCATCTTGTTTGGGAAGATGCTTCAGCAATCAGGGGTAAGTTCTAATGTTCTTGTTTTGTCGTACTGTTTTTTATATGTTATTTGGTCTTTAAGTGCTATCAATGGGTCATCCTTTACACAGATTGATGGATGTCACAATCTAATCGTGATAATTTACTAAAGGGTCAGGTTTTCAAGTTTTGTAGCTGGAATTGTAAGGGTTTAAATCAACCCATTAAAAGGAGTAAAGTGCTCCATCACTTACAGCATTTGGGTGCTCAAATTGTTTTTTTACAAGAAACCCACTTGAAAATTTCAGATCATTCTAGACTCCGGAAGGGCTGGGTTGGCCAAATGTATCATTCAACTTTTCAAGGAAAATCTCGAGGTGCTGCTATTTTAATTCACAAATCAGTACCATTTGTGTCTTCTAACATTATTACTGATCCTAATGGTAGATACATTATTGTTTGTGGGAGCATCTTTAATACAAAATTAGTTTTGGCTAATGTGTACGCACCGAATTGGGACGATTATAATTTTTAAAAATTTTTTTTCACCAAGATTCCAGATTTATCTTCACATTTTCTTATCTTGGCTGGCGATTTGAACTGTTGGCTGGGCCCTTTGGACCGGTCATCAAACAATATTAACAGACAATCACACTCTTCCAAAGTTGTTAATAATTTTCTTAAAGAATTCTCAGTTATTGATGCCTGGCGCTTTCTTAACCCTACTCGTAAAGAATATACATTTTTCTCCCCAGTTCACCATACATACACTCGTATTGATTACATTCTTTTGGACAGCCGTCTGATACCGCATATCCGGTCTTGTTCTCACAATGCCATTGTAATTTCAGATCATGCTCCTGTGACATTGGACCTAGTGTTGGGAGGTGGTTCTCCTTCTGTTGTTCCTTGGCGCTTAAACACACGTCTGCTGTCTGATGATAAGTTTGTTGCCTTTGTTACTTCAAAAATAGACTTCTTCATTGCTACAAATGATACTCCAGGTACATCACCCTCTCTCTTGTGGGAGACTTTTAAGGCTTTTATACGAGGACAGATTATATCCTACAGTAGTTTTGAAACTAAACAGAGAAAGGCAAGGTTGTCAGAACTTACAACTCGAATTCTGCAGTTGGATGAACTATACGCAGCTTCCCCTTCACCCGAGGCATACATTTTTAGGTTGTCTTTACAGGCAGAGTTTGACCAATTGGCATCAGTACAAGTGGAGGAGATGCTTTTGAAGTCGCAGCACGCCCAATATGAATATGGTGACAAGGCCAGTAAATTACTTTCTCACCAACTTCGTAACGCGTCAACAAAACATTTTATCCCACAGATCAAAACTCACAATGGCATTTCTTCGGATCCACAAATAATTAATAACCAGTTCCAAGAATTTTATTCGTCATTATACGTGTCTGAATGTCCATTTGATATTTTGTCTCTGGACTCTTTCTGTGATAACCTTGTTTTTCCTGTACTAGACCGAACTTATAGTCTTAAAATGGAAGAGCCCTTGACAGTAAAAGAAGTTCTACGTGCTCTTAATATTATGCAAAGTTCAAAATGCCCAGGACAGGATGGATTTCCTGTCGAATTTTATAAAAAATTCAGTCTTAAATTGGCTCCCCTCCTGCTGAACATGTTTAGGCACTCATTTGAAACTGGAACTCTCCCACCATCCTTGTTACAGGCTTCTATTTCTGTGATCCTGAAGAAGGATAAAGATCCTTTGTCTTGTGGCTCCTATCGCCCAATTTCCCTTTTAAATGTTGACTATAAAATTCTCGCCAAACTTTTAGCCCTCCGTTTAGAAACTGTCTTGCCTTCTTTGATCAGTCCTGACCAGACTGGATTTATTAAGGGGAGATATGCCTTCTCCAATGTTAGACGGTTATTTAATGTGCTCTATAACCCCACAGATTCTTGTGAAGCAGAATTTGTGATTAGTCTGGATGCGGAGAAGGCGTTTGACAGAGTGGAGTGGGGTTACCTCTTTTATGTACTTCGACGTTTTGGATTTGGTAATAAGTTTATTTCATGGATAAAGCTCTTATACACCCCCCCCGCTTGCCTCTGTCAAAACAAATTCCATTTATTCTAAATACTTTCCTCTTTTCAGAGGCACTAGACAGGGGTGTCCCATGTCCCCATTACTTTTTGCAATAGCTATAGAGCCATTGGCCATCTCACTTAGATCCAATATACATTTAAGTGGGGTCACAAGATCAGGCATTGAACAACGGCTTTCCTTGTACGCCAACGACTTGCTTCTCTATATTTCTAAACCAGCCTCTTCAGTCCCTATTGTACTTTCAACTCTTGACCCATTTAGCCGCGTCTCTGGCTATAAACTAAACCTTGGCAAAAGTGAAATTTTTCCATTGAATTCGGTGGCTCAAAAATATTCACTTGCTTCTCTCCCATTTAAGGTTGCCCTTGATGGTTTTACTTATTTACGGGTTAAGGTCAAAAGTAAATTTTGCGAACTTTTTAAATTTAATTTTGAGCCGTTGGTGGACAAGGTCAAACAAGACCTAGATAGATGGTCTTTGCTTCATTTATCTGTTGCTGGGAGAA